TCAAGAACATCACTTTCAAAATCAGCAACGGCAGAAACTGTATCATTGTCGTCATCAACAACAACAAGAGCAACGGCAACAATGTTATCGAGAGCAACATGAACGTGAACCGAAATATTTAGAATGTCAAAGTCATTATACTTATCAGCAACAGCAATTACGTCATGATTATGAAGAACAACAGCAGCAGCAGCAGCAGCAACAACAACATCACCCACTAGATGATCGTGATCAACAGTATCATCATCATTATCATGAGAAACAGCAGCAACGTCAATATCAACCACAACATCATCACGATCAACAACAACAACAACAACATCAGAACTATGAACAACAGCAACAACGACAACATCATCACGATCAACAGCAACAACAATATCCAGAAGAGACATATTCTTATCAACGTCAACAAAATCAACCTCACCAACTTCCAAAGTATACTGATTCCTCACTGTCTTCGAACCAACAAAAATGTCATTCCTCAAATCAACAGTCTATTTGCAGCAAATCAGCAACAAATGTCAAACAACAAAACAACGCATCGAATCGTCCGCAATGTTCACATACAGTATTCAATGTCAGAAAACCTCCAGCGTCTATGAATCAAGGCAAAGCCTCGTGTGATCAACAAAAATCTCAATCTCTCCTAGATAAAGTAGCTAAACTGTGCGGTTTGAATCTCAATGAAGCATCGCCCGAAGAATGTAAATCCCATTGTTCCAACTTAAAAAAATGTTCCTCGATAATAGGTCTGATTTCTCGCGTATGGAAGAGCAAATCTCTCCAAACCCGCAAACCAGAAAATTCCGAATGTTCGCAACATTGTGATCCAACGTCAGAATTAGAGAACGAAGCGCAATCATACTTGCTCCCTCCTAGCCCTAATCACTGGTCTGAGAAAAATCAAGCGAAAATCAGCCGCCACGTTACCGTACACGGCACTGAAGTTTTCATTCCCTACGAGAGATCGATCAAACCAAGGCCAAAGCTCCGACCGCCAGCAAGAAAGATCCTCTTGAAAGATCTAATACAACACCCAAAACAATCTCCACCCACGGAGACCCAGCCAAACCCCAACCTAAACTGCCATAACTCCAAGGAAGCATGGCAGACACCGTCTTCCTCGAGCTCGCGTGTCGTCAGCTTCGACGACAAAAAGAAGCAGAGCTTCCAGCTGCCGTTAGGAGCTAAAACAAGTGAAGAGCTTATCGGCAGAGCGAGTTTCGCTGCGCTGGGTAGCAGTTCTTACCGGAAGCCATCTGGCTCGTTCAACATCGACGACGTCGGCGAGGCCAGGCCGAATGTGTCCTCTTTGAAATACCGTCTGATCAAGTGTCCCGCGATGAAGCAAATGTGGCGGCAAGCTGAACGCAAGCTTCCCGATGTCTCCGTGAAACCTTTCGAGATGTCTCGACCATTTCTAGTCACTCGTCAGAAGATGAGTTGCTATAAAGGAACCGGCGAATGGAAGAAACAAAAGTATCCAGTTCGACTGAGGATTTACAAGTCAAAGGACAGTTTGGATCCCTGTTTGCCGGCGATGGCGGAGGTCAGAGGGGATCGCGGCCGCGTAGACGCGGTACCAGCGCCGAGATTCAAATCGACCGCCGGATATTGAAATGTCCCTGTTCGCCGCCGCCGAGAAAGACAATCGAAAGTCTGCCCGCGCAAATGAAGGGGGGCGTCGCGTGTGGACGAAGACTGATGGGGGCGAAGACGTGTTTACCGTGCCCCGACCACCGAATCCTTCGATTATTCAAATTACTCGGTCGCGCGTAAACGATTGCGTCAACCGGAATGATGCGCGTCTGCCGGCTGATCGGGATGGAGAGGTCGGGAGTTCAGGGGTAGAGAGTTCTTGGTGAAAGAAGGAGAACGTTGATGAATACATGTTGGAAAATTGATATTTTTGAAATTGCAATGAGTTTTTTGATTTGGAATACTGCTTCTTTTTCTGACTCCAAGATTTATAGCGAAAGGTTTTTGATGTACACTTGACACTCTTGTATCGCAAGAAACAAAGTCTATTATAATAAAGTTAATATAGTTCAGTTGAAATGATACTCTTTGAAGTCTACCGTGAAAATAAGAGTCGCGAAATTGATGTATTTCAATTGGAACTTCCTATATTGTATTACTATGAGTTCTACTAGTTTACATCTTCGACCTATTTTCGCGTGAGTGCTTTATTGCGCGCAGCATGTTCTTTTTGCGAACTAGATGAGTAAGTAGTATCGTAAAAAAGAGGATGAAAAAGGAGACGGTAAAGGGTATTTCACGAAAACCGCGAAGGAATTACAGGTTTCCGCGATGTGCTCCGATTATTCCTTGTCTAATTGTATTTTTCCCTCGGCAACTGCCACTGTAATTTAATTTCCCGCTTGGTAATATTAAAATCAACAAGCAGATAGAACGAAGCACCCGCCACAGACGAATTTTATTGTTCGCGGAGCCCGGTTTTTGCGGCGATTCTGACGTAAACGCGGGTTATCTCTTCAACCTCGCGCTGCAAAACAATTCGTACAGGAAGGCACGAGAGAATTTCGCCGTCCGCGGGGCCGTAATATCAAGAAAAATGTATCAGTGATTTATATAAACTTACCACCGCACAATACTGTACACCGCGTAATAAAGACATTTTATTTACAAATAAATGTGCTCGTTTAATAAAGTTAACAAAATATCTCAGTCGAAGAGACACATTAATTTTGCTAAAGGTACTATTCGAATATTCCATGAAGAATTCTGCGAGATTTATTCTCGAGAGGAACATAAATTTCAAGCTTTTATTTTCGTCTAATCACGCTTGCTTCTTTTTTGCAAGAACGGGACAGTCCCTTGGCGCGCACGCTTCGTCTCATTCTTCCGTACACTGGAAAATAATTTAAAATGCAAGATACCGTATCTTACTCGCGGGACCAAACAGACGTGTAACTCGAAAAAAATGTACCGTAGTTTGTCATAAGGGGAGGAACGGTAAGAAGCTCGCGCCTAACAGCTGTTTTCCAACTTCTCGCATTTATCATTACTCCTTCGGCGTATATTTTCAGTTCTGCGTATCGCCGCGCCGTAGAACAAACTTGTGCATCAAGTAATGTTATTTTACGAGGCGTGTACCGCTTCGTCTCGATCTAGAAGCGACGGGACTTCTTTCTTTAATGAAAAACCATGCAAAGCGCGCGAAGTTTCTGTCGGAAATTCTTGCTTCGGGTAAATCCTTATCATTCATTTTCCTGCGACGTTTCGGCCATTATCTGAAACTGTTCTCTAAGAAGAGATTCGAGTATTGTTCTTTTAAATTCGGCGATTATTATGCTTCAACTGTTAATCACGAGTAAATTATACTATCTTTTGCTTGAGATTTGACATTTTATTTTTACCAGGATACATTTAGTGTTCCGAATCGCGCCAGAATTATGCAGTGCAAGCGATAAATGAAGAAATTAATGTAGCAAATCTGAAGTTCTTAGTTCCTGCTTCGTTCAATGAATTGCTGTTCCGTTTGGAATTGTATTTCACGAAGTTTTCAGTTTCCGTGCCATTAAATACGCTACTACGATTTTATTGGACTTTTATGGCTCCTGATTCAGCAGTCGACGTGTTAAATATTTGCTATTCACTATTGTTTCTGTATTTTGTGTCCTTTATATCACTGTCTACATTATTATATTATTATATTACTATATTATTATATTATCATTATGACTATCATACGTATCATCTAATTTAAGCTCGGTAATATTTGTCCTTCCTTCGAGTGATTTTTTTCAACTTTAAATGTCCACGTTATAAACGCAGTTTTTTCCACATTCCGAGTGCGTGATGCTTGGAGAGAGACCTCGCATTAAAAATGCAAATGTTGACGTTCACGGACGACATTTCATATCATATCCCGTATTAAAAACACAAACACAATTAACGAAACGCGGGGACATGGAAGTGGCTGCGTGAATGTTCCCCGTGGCACCGAAATGTCACGACGATTCAGCGAAATTAGAAGACGCGCAGAGATTCGTGCCGCGTTTCAGCCGCAAAACTAGGCGGAGTAAATCTTGGCAAATATTATTTCAACGACTAGAAATACAAGCCACGCGACTCCGTGTAAATTACAGCGTGGAACGCTCGCGAGTATAAAGACCGACAAAATTTATGCACCGTGGAGCACCAGACAGCTCGCGATTTTGTAACAATATCGCGCAATAACCTTTAACCTCTTTGCTACGCCCTATAACCGGGCATACTTATTTAACTTCAATTTCATTGCAATAGTTATGTATTTTAGCAATTTCGTTCTGTGATTATTCATAATATCATAATCACGTTATACGCGAAGCACAAATTTAATGTTTCTCAAATGATTTCGTCTAAATTAGTAAAACGTCGCGTTAAACTGTATCTAGATTAAGTCATTTAAATGGAAGTATACAAGCTTATACTAACGTTAACAACAATTTTTGTAGTTTTAAGAAAGAAAGTAAAACCTACGTTACGTTGGAATAAACAGAATTATTTTACTTTTTTACAACCGCTCTCAAAATTACATTACGCGTTTATTCTGAATCTTCCATAGAAATAACAGAATTGCATCGTTTTATTTCAACGTAGAACAGAAAAATAATATGCAAGTAGATTAAATCTTATGATGAATATTTAATTTAAAGTATCAAGCTTTCCACGTAAGACAAGAGGTTAACACGTTAAGCGCCATGTCAATCACCGGTGACTGACGCTTCTGAATGACTAAAAAAGAAATAAAAATGTTTAACAACGCAACTAAGTTGATAACAGTGTAACGCGAACGTTGCAACACCGAACGATTCATAATTATTCCTGCTTTCCTTCGCTACAAAAGACAAACTATGGGAAAACGCTTAAGATTTGCATGGCGCTTAACGTGTTAAGGGTTGAAATTGATTTATCCGCTCTAAGCGATATCGATCAACATACTTCTAGGCGAAAATTCGTTAACCGATCGGCGAATCTTCTTTCTGTTGCAGATAGTCGACGACTGGTACCACATGGTGCACACGTCGGTGGTGAAGAGGTCGGCGGAGCCGCATCTAGGGATTCACGGGAGGCTGCTACAGGACCGCAGGGTGCGCCGGGCCGAGCAACAGCGTGTTAAATCGCGAACGAAACGGGATCTGATCAAACGTGGTCCGTCCAATCTCCACACGATCCTGAACGACGAGAGGTGGTCACAGATGTGGTACTTGGTTAGTTAATTTCGATTTTCTGCTGTCTAACCGGCGAACGTTTAAGGGGAACCGAGGTCGAAGTCCGTTCTTACGGGAACGTTACAAAACCTAATCTTTGCTTAACACGTTCAGTGCGGCGCCGATTTTGCTATACTTTCAGGCGGCAGCGCGTGAGCATTCGATGCCGAACGCTAAACTAGACCGCGCGATATGGCGCAACAGATTCCTTTTTTTCACTGTCTCTTTTGTCGTTCGCACTGTGACAATGGTGCAGGCAATGCAATGTATACGATGTATAAACATAAGATAACGGGGTGGGGAAGAGACAAAAGTGCGAACACCAAGAAACGATCAGTCTGAAAAAGCCACGGGAGTACGCTAAATTTTAACATAAATTTTTTAATTGTCATATGCGTTTACTGCATTGTTTCTAATTCAATAGGCGTTCACTCGTATATGTAGGAAATAAAACGGAAAAAAATGTAATGTTAATGAGAAATATATATGTAACGTAATATAATGAATTAATCAGTACAATTGTAATTTGAGTAATTCAATAGTTTCTATAATTGCGTTTCTATAATTGCATTCCTATAACTGCATCAGTCGAAATTTAGATGCATCTCTACTATATAATTTTCATGAAAATTAATAGTCGTCTAATTGGTGAATTTCTAGCGTTGAAATTACATCTTTTTTCTATTTCAATCGTCACTTTATTTTTGGTTCGGAAGAGATAAGTCGTGTTTGAAATATCGATGTATAGAAAGAACAATTATGTCGTGGCGTTATAATAGAAACGTAAATATTGACGGGTCGTTTCAGAATAGGGGGAATGGATTGGACATGAACGTGCAGGAAGCTTGGGCCGAAGGAATTACGGGGAACGGGGTCGTGGTCACGATTCTTGACGACGGATTGGAAAAGGATCATCCGGATCTCTGCAAAAATTATGTAAGTTTCTTTATTTATCGTCAAACATTCTTGATCGTCGGAAGTTCTCGCCGGAAGCTTCAGCTGCGCTCTCAATATAAGAACAAAGAGAAACACCTGAAAATTTTATTCGAAATAATAAACTTACAACTTCGTATATTTAATTCTGGAAAACTTCCTTTTATTTCCTGTCACTAATAATTATATCACAGAACTGATTGGCTTCTTGATGTCAAACAGAGACAACGGTAGAAAGTCAATTTTTAAATTAGGATAATAAGTTGATACCAAACAGTATGAAACAAGAATCAATCAGTGATTTAAATCAGTTTACATGTACAAGACACAATGGTCGTAACAACCATCATATCAATATATATCAATTATTGTATAATTCATATTATAGATTTTTTAATTCGACTCAATTTAACTTGATGCGGCAATATCAAACATGATATCGTATAACATGTAATGGTTATATTAGCAAGCTTGTTCATTGAAAATGACAAATGGCATTCTGCAATTGTTAATTAGAATTCACTGAATTATTTCAACTTCGATTGTTTATTAAATTAATTTTTGCGTCTTAATCGTCGTTAGTATTCTGTTTTCAAGTTCTACCGATTGCCTCAGATTTAATTCAAATCTAATAAATTGTCGCAAAGCCGATCCGCGGATTCATGAATTTGCTTGACGCAAAGGCTTAAGTCGCAATGGTTTGCATCGAGATATCGAAGTTACTAGGGAATTCGAAGTCAGATAGCGAGTCGAGTGGCAGTCTTGAGCCGCGCCCGAACCGTTTGTTTACTAGTGGGTGGCCGGAGTTAATAAGGCAACCGCAGAGAAATGCGTACCGAGTTCTACAGGGTGTTCAAGAAATTATGGTACAACCGATGTAACATAGCAAGTGCTTGTATCAAAGAGAAACAATAATTTACAACAGATCTATTACTTTAAACGAGTAACATTATAATACAGAAAATAATATTGATAATATAATGAAAGAGGACAGTAGTTGAAAATTATTTTACAAGATATTTCGTTTCTGGAAATAAATGAATTTAAAAGTTTCTCAGACTCGTTTCATTCTAAATTAAAATTGGCTAACGTGCCTGGCCCTGTTTCAACGTTTCCACTTCTTGTGAACGTTAATTTTCAGGATAATCATATTTCTTTAATTGCTTATATTGGAAAGCAAGGTTTAACCAAAAAATTATTGCACGTATTCGGTTTACATTCGTGTATTGATTCATTGGATGCAAGATTGCAACACAATTTCTGGAATATCCTGTACGAGTTCGCAGTAGATATGGACGTCCATGATCAGACACGGGTTGCTGCCCGATATTGATCTAAACGAGATACACACCGACCGCCTATACGGCTGGTTCTAATAGAAGCCACTAGTAGCAGATCGAAAATATTGCAATCGATGCAAAGTTTGCTGCATTTAGAAGTTTCAAGTCGAATATTTGTGCACGTATCGAACTGGTAAGTTTGAAATAAGTAACGAGGATGAAAATTGCTCGTACTTTCGAATTGGTTTTCTTGAAACTATTGTTTTTTAAGTTATGGAATTGTCAACATTTTTATAAACATATTAACCTCGACTGTTTGAAAATATTATCAAAAAGGTAGTATATTCAAGTATGGATTATGAGTTATTAATTATTCGTAACTAATTGGAATAGTTATTACCCGAAGTGCACATTTATAAAATACACTTTATTCGAATTTTTTTGTATAGTCTAGTAATATAACTTGGCAGAATTCAGTAGGAAAATAAAATAATAAATAAAAGCATTATGGTAAACGATTGAAATGCTATATTAAGTAAATAATACTTACTGAAGCTTATTTGTATAATTGAATAATACAATCATATGGAATATAAATATAAACGTATTTTAGAATTAATTAAATCTTCGGTACCTTAGACCATTTATTCACGTTTTATGTGAAACAAACAAATATATATAAAAATAGGTAGTACAAATAGTTGAATGTTCTTATAGAGCTAAAAAATATATAATGATTCCTCTGAAGATTAAGTTTCAATAACGACTGTCTTGCGTGTCTGACCATTGCCTACTATATCTACTTACAGAGAATGAAAGTACCCACTCCTGCTTACGTATGATCTATTTCTATTTATTTCTTAACAATACCGTCAATCCTTATGAAATTAACGTAGAACAATAACAATCTTAATAAAAGTGTTATATTTTCATATTACTTAACACTTAACATCCACAAAGATTTTTCATTTTCATTTTTGTACGAAAAGTAATTGTTAAATATTTTCAAACATTAGGTAGTAATTACCAGATTTATTTTTCTTTAATATACTCGATAACGTTTGTAGACAAATTCAACGGAATTACTAATTGTTTATTGCCTTCATTTATTTCTCATTTTTGAACGAGAAACTCATTAGTCTTTGAGGAGAGCTACCTAAAATAATATTATTCGAGTGTCAATAAATTAGAGTCTCGCGTATACTCGTTTTATTGTGCCGTTACGGCCAGTATAATTTTCTGCGGCATCTCGACCGAATATTAGAATCGTTTAAACGTTCGGACACAATTTCGTAGGGACGGGCTCGGGGCCGTGACATCGGTCCGAGAACTTTCAAACAATCTCTTGTAAACCGCCCGAAGGAAAATGTAATTAAATCGATACCAGTAGGAAATCGATATTCCCTGCGAGCTCTGTAAAATTGTAGTCGAGGTGTAGTCGCTAATTCGAAAGCTAGTTCGCTCGATATTAATTCGCCGATTTTATTCTTTCACTTTTCCATACCGACCAAACGAAGAATTCTAACCTCAAATTATCACTCATTTAAAGAATCCAATAATCCAATTACATAATTTAAATTATTGTAATTAATACGGCACTGTAATCGTTGCTCCTTTGAAACTGACTAAATACTAAATTACATCGTGTCAATAAGATCGTAATTTTAATTCCAACAGTTGCAGAATTTCTAAGTGGCAGGCACTCTTACAATATAAATTGAGAAAATTATTGTAAATATTATTTAGCTATCGTTTGAAAAACACTTTTCCCTCCAAACAAATGTACATAACTTGCCCTTTAACACGCTGCCATTTTTACACTTTCATAACTTTGCAAGAAAAGGGAATCAAACGTAAATAAGAGAAATAAAATTTAATTTTTCAATTTCCACTTGTTTCAACTTATGTAACCTTTTAAAGAATCTATTTAAACCGCAACTATTTATTCAAGCACCTCATACTTTATTGGAACAGTGAGAAAAGAAAATTCCATTCGTATAAACTCATTAAATTAAGAAAGAAAGAATAAAAATACAAACAGTGCCATACCCGTATTGTAATAATTTAAGCTACATGCATTTTCCAAATCCTCTTATCTTTTCACATACTGAGATACGTAGTAAGAATTATTCGTTATCGAAGGCAATTATTCGCGATGCGTTATTCGGTAACAATGTTGCCACAAAAAGGATAATACCGCAAGGGTCTTGTAATAAAAGTCGAACTGTCGTTCCAGGACCCACAAGCCAGTTACGATGTTAACAATCACGACGAAGATCCGATGCCGAGATACGATCTTTTGGACAGCAATCGACATGGTACCAGATGTGCCGGCGAAGTGGCTGCCACTGCTAATAATTCCATCTGCGCAGTCGGTGTTGCGTTCGGAGCCGGTATTGGGGGTAAGTCTGTGTGCAGAACCCAGTTCAACCCCTTCGAGCAGAACAAAACTCGTAACGGTGGTGGTGAAAAAAAAATCTACAGCCCACTGAAACCTTGAAACTTGACTTACTTTTATACCTTCGAGACTCCTTCATCGCGCAACGGCGACTAAAATAAATTTATGTTTCGTTTTTCGTGTAAATCTGATTCTTTCGACAAACAAGAAAAGTTTCTTTTCTGGAAACGTTGAAGAAAACGTTGAAAGATAATATGAATGCGACAGACCCTATCGTTACATTTCTATTATTTAAATCATTATATTATAAATAAACTTTGTAAAACTTTACACAATTTTAAATCATTTTCTCGGAAAATTCTTTATACAAATTTTACTCTTTAAAGTTTCACCTCTTTTACATTACCTCATATACCGGATCATCGTTGCAATGATCATTTCGACATCGATAACGCGTGTTCACTGGCGAAGCAACTCTGTTAGCAAATCCGTTGAAGGAATAATTACCTACACCGAGGAAGGCCGCGCACATATGTCGCGAATTTAACAAGATTTGCTGGCGGATTGTCACAGGGACCTAAATTGGAAGGTCGAAATTAGCCTCGATTCCGTAATTGCGAGGAAGTTCAAAACTGTAATCGACACACTAACCAGTAGTGACCGCTAGTTAGAAACCATATTTACTACACACAGAGCACCGGGAACTAAATACGAGCGTACCCAGAGGCAATAAGTACCAAGTGTTTCAATTCCAGTTTTAAGTGCAGTCACCGGGCGCGCTTTAAACTTTTCATCGATAACTATGGGAATTATCCGCAGCATGGACTAAACAACACATAATTCATCGTAACACTATATTTCGAAGCAAGTTACAAATTAATTATTCGTTTTACTTTCGTCAAACCTGTAGCCCCCTTGGTGTCACGATTATCAAAATCACAGAAATTAAAATTTTCATTATACATGGTAGTTTCGCGTTAATATACCGCAGAAGTAAATAACGAAATTATTAAGAAATACAGAATGTTAATTTTTCATATAAAAGCTTAAGGACACATTAAAAATATCATATGACAGTACTCAGTATCAATGTGTAAATATCTCTCGATATTTTTAACTTATTTCCTTTAGAAGCACCTAGTGTTCGTTCGCGCATAGTAGAATCGATAAATAAACATTCCTACATCTATAAAGATATATTCTCATACTATAATTTGGTAATAAAATATGAAAGGAAAGTGTATCTTGAAGTATAACCAGTGTACTATGTAGAAATCGAAATAAACTTTTTTACATTTTTCCGTAGCGTAACCTTTCAGCTGTTAAGGGTTAAATATGTTTCATTGAATTTTCTCCAGGAGTAAGGATGTTAGACGGAGACGTGACGGACGCCGTCGAAGCGAGATCCCTTAGCCTAAATCCCCAGCACATCGACATTTACAGTGCCTCCTGGGGGCCGGACGATGACGGTAAAACGGTTGATGGCCCCGGCGAACTTGCCACCAGAGCTTTCATCGAAGGAATCACGAAGGTCCGTAAACAAATTTTATTATCCCTGTTCGTAAATCAATAATAGCCTGTACAGCCACGAGCGAATGTCATTACTGTATATATTAATATTAAAGTACAATCCTGGACAAAACGATAGTATGTACAGTGGGCCGCATTAATATTCGGACACCATGGTACTTGAAGAACTTTCGTTCTATATCTTTGCTGTTTGTGAAATTAATAAATTCGTTGTTTTCTAATAAGTCGGAACATTTATCTTAGATACTACGAACATAATTATTGTTCATATAATTTATATACTTTTCTTGTTTATCAGTGTTAAATGAAATGTCTACTTTGGCGACTGTCCTTATTGATCTTCCAAGTAGAGTTTTACAAATAAGTTTCTTAATAAATTTTTCAATGTCCACGTTACATTGAAACGTGCTCAATAGTTCTCCTTCAAATAATAATTACTCAAAGTTTTTATTAATATTATTTCAGAGAATATGTTATTTCATGGTTACAATCGCTATTACTATTGAACAGGTACTCAGCTCTCCATAATATAATAACACTTAATAAATTATCTGCGTTCTGACTCTGTTCAACCAATTCCTTTCTCTTTAGCTTTTCGTTCGAATATACAGGTGCATTCGGCCCGCGGTACACGAGTATACACTCTATTATTTGATTCCATTGTGAGCGTTATCAGAGATTTCTGAAATGAAATTCCAGAATTAACAGGTTAATGGATTAATTCCACGGTGGGTTTCAACGAAATTGTCCCACTCCGTTCCTTTGAACTAGAAATTCTCAAATTTGCGTTCGTTCCTTTTTTCGGCGCAGCGGGACAATAACCTATTGTTGACACGGTCGGTGCGCGCCTAATTAAAAGTCCCGTCCCGTAGATACAACTTCTGAGAAACCGTTGCTGTCAAGCTCCCCGGCGATAAGAGTAATCTGCACACTTGCGCACAATGGGCCACCGCGCATCCCAGCTGTAGCCTACTTCCATTTGCGATAGACTCCGCCGCGCCTTCTCCGATCACCTGTCACGTCTACCTTAAGGGCTCCTCTGCCGTGACAACTTGAAAAATTCGATTTCTGTTTCACCGTATTATCGCGGTGCGGTAATTGTTGGGAAACATAGTTTCACGATTATTCGAAGTGACCGCCATGAGTGGGAACAACAGAATATATGTTCTTTTATTTCGCTATAAGTTCTTACTTCTTTATCGAGTGCATTGGTATGGTGTAACACGTGTTTAGTAATCCGCGCCAAGAACGTCATTATATATGAGTGTTGCTTGTAACTGTTGTAATAACTCAATATTATATTATATTTGTAGAAACTGTTCCAATCCATGAGTGTACCCAAATAAAACAGTAATGAATCTTGAAATTTGAATTTCGAAGTAATTTACGAAACAACGGAGCAGTACAAATTAAGAATAATGATTGAGGTCATAAAGAGACGAAGGAGTTCTAAAATTTGAAAAACGAAACATGGAAAATTGTCGAATTTCATCAATTTTGCGCAGCATTTTATTATTTAAACAAGGTGACAATAGAAGGTGACAATAGAAAATGAAAATAAAATAAAATGAAAGTAGAATGATAAATATCTATGTTTCAAATTACGTTCATAAATACTATGACAATTTCAAAGGTTAGAATTCTTCTGCATTTCCGAACAGTACGACATCTAGAAATTAGGATACCGATGGAATTTGGGTCACCATTATCCGCGCGCATGCTCTGGCAAATGTGAAAAGCACGAATATGGTGTCTGTGCTTCAGCATACGTGCCATTTGGAACATTTTAAAATTAAAACTCGAAAGGCAGAAGTAAAATATAAGAGTGATATACTCGGAAACGCAAGGTGCGACTGAAATTCCGAAATCAGAGGAATGAAAAATGGTGAATCTTTATTTCTTATATCGTATCGTCTCGGAATCAGAATTCTAAAAGATGCGTTCTAAAACAGATGAAACAAATTTTTACGAAATTTCGTTGAATATTATTCTTAACTCATTGGAATCGTTAATGTGAGAAATAGAATTCTTTTCTGCTTTGGTTTGGTGATTCTTGACGTAAAAAGATGAATCTGCTCGAAAATTTGCGGTCCAATAATTATTCCGGGGGACGGATCATCGTACGAGAAATTTTTATTCGCCGTTTCCGTTTTACTTTTTCGTGTTGAATCACCTCTTCTCCGTTTGTACCACGATTTCCGGAACGCCCTGTGTAGTGCACCGCTCAATATCATTGCGTTGCGTAATCCGCCTTACAACCCGATAAATTCGTTCAAAATGGCGACATTACCGTATCTCAAAATATTGATGTCTTTCTCAGCGTATCAATAGTATCTGGCCTGTTTAAATAAAAGCTCGGAAAACTATTGCTTACTTGAACAATTGTATTTTCGGTCTAAGCACATAATGTTATTTAGTATTTGTTTCTTTTTCGTTACTTGGTTCATTCGGAATTTATGCATTTACAGTATACATTAGTTCCCAAAGTGTAATGAAAAAACATTTTAGCAGAATCTTTATGGAATATCTGTTTCAATTTAAATTCTGGAAACTTCTGTAGAATTCTCTTTTTCATAAAACATTGTCGGAAAGTCTGTAAACATAAACATTCATAACGTAGACATTGATATTATGCTCATAACATGGTCCAGTAAATTTTTACGCTGAAAATGTCATTTCACCCTATTTTCCATTTTTTTAGCAATCCGATAATCATTTGTAAAGTAAAAGCAAAACACAATAATTATTTTAATTACTTCAAAGAAGGATGACATTAACGGTATTATTGATAACAATTATTCAAATCATTATCCTCGTTTTCTTGCCGTTGCAATTATCTTTACTCGTTAATTTCATTATTATAATATTCACGAAAATCGTAACACGTTGTTACAACGCGAGCGGTTAAAGCTGCGGGACCCGTCCGCGAGGTTTTCGCCGGGAAAAAATCCGGGAAGTTCGTTACTCCATTTGTACTACCAGACGAGAAGCGAAAGAGAAAGAGGAAAAAAATGGAGGGGGGAAAGGGAAACGAAGGAGGAAAGGAAAACGTCTCGTCTGACCGTCCGCGATAAGATCGGAAGAGCCGTTTCCCGGAATGAAATTCCCAGAAATGTATCACCTAAAAGCAGCGCCCGGGGATCTTTCCGCGGGGACGACAATGGAAAGGCAGCGACCTCATTGTTATCCCGATGTATATGCCTAGCAGTCGCTCGGAAGCAATCCTCTTCGATTGCGTTCGCTAGACGACAGACGGGCGCGGGGGTGTTGCTTTATCTCCGTTCTCAGACTCGGCGAACACGTCTGGCTCGGCCTCGGTCCCGGCGAACCGAGAAACCGATCATTAACCCTTTAACCCCCTGCCGTACATTTTCCCCGTAATTATGCTCGCAACACTTGTTCCGCTGTCAATAATTCGCGACGAAACGGAGGATCGTTGTGACCGTCGCCAGCGCTTCACTTCGAAGTTAACGCGTCGACTGCCACAAACTATCAGCGTTTGTGGCAGAGATAAAAAGAAACGATTATTAATTATTTGCTGCAATTCTTACTTATTTTTCAACTGTGGTCGACAACTTTGTCAGTGATAATTTATCGAAGAGAAAAATTCAAGTACAAACAGAATAGGGTGTATATTAACAGTTACAGCTGCAAATTTCTCTATTTACTACTTTATTCATTCGATCATGTACTTACTTATATAGTCGATAATCGTATAATTACCCACTGCAATGTGTGCAGTTGAAAATATGTACGCGCAAAGTTTAATACAGGATTCTTCTTCGAAATTCACGTAAAACGGAGATTCCGTTATAGAACAAAACGGCCACTCGCTTGATGAGGGTTAAGGTCGCAAATACGGCGGCGTACTGAACGGAACGCGGTTGAACGAGAACGAAACACCCTCGTTTGGGAACCGATGCGCGTTGTCGGCCTCGCGAGAACAATTATTTTCTTCGGCTTTCGTTCCGCGCGGCGATCGTGGATTGAGGTTTTCGCGTCATTCCGCTCCGCGTTCCAGCAACTGTTCCCGCTGGGGATTTCTTTGCCGGTCGATGGCTGCGCGGCGGCCATATTTCTTCGTGAGTTTCGCGCGAATCTTTTTTCTATTGATTCGAAGCTTAGGGAGATCTGGATCGGATCGAGCAATAGCGCCCCAGGCGATCTCTATCGTTGGATTTTCCGCCCGTCCACTGTTCCTCCGGTGTTCTGGGCGACCTAGTTTTTTCGGGCATTAAACTTGTTTTTAGTTTATTCGGTTAACATGAACGTAGGACTCGGATTTCCCGATAAATGAATTCACTTTTTGGTTTCTATGGTCGTGTATAAAATAACGAACGGATTGTTTGTGGGTTTAGGGAGATTGTTTTTAACGCGATACGCTGTTGCGGCTTTAGACGATGGAGTAGATTAATAACAACGCACAAAACCAGGCGAAGCGCATTTTATTTCGAATCATAGCAGAGTTTCGTATTTTCAAGGTGTGGATAAATTTTTCCAGTGTTTTTATCGTGAAACGGATATACGTAGAATGTTCATTAAAATGTACGAGTCACATTCTCGTAGAAATATTAACATAATACTGAAAATAACTTTAAAAGAGGTTCTCTCGCTTTCAATGACAGAATAACTGATCCAAACATCCATTATTTCCAAAAACACCACTAATAATCCTTTAAACTTCTACAAGAAACATTATCACCCGAAAAGTGTCATTAACGAATCAAAGTATCGCCCGAAACATTATTATTTTGCGATTCTTCTTAAATACAATAGTTTTCTGGTAATTTATCATAAGTATCAACGGCAGCTGCTACTGCGTATCCAGAAGAGCTTTATTTATATAACAAAGATGGTTCAGCTGGGGTTGTTTCAGACTTTTGCTCTACAATTGTAAAATTCATATATACACGGATTATACACTGCGAATTTCACATTGCGCGTTCCTTTCCATGTCACCGAAAACGAAACAATAAAACAACGAATGTATCGAAGATCCCTCACAAATCTACCGTTCGAAACAAAAGAAAGTAACACGCGCGCGTCGCGAAGGTAACGCGAGGAGAAACAGAGGAGAAGGGAGAAGAAGCGTCCCCGGTGACAGTTAATTGGCGTTGCCCGGAGAAAAAGTCAGGAGTCCCGATAATTATCCGGGCAATCGAATGGTGATTCTTTGACGGGCCGACGGAACGGTCGTTGCCCGTGACAACCATAATTCGATTACGGCCGCGGAACGGGTCGGAAGTTCTTCAGCCCCCCCGGATCCGGCTTAACAGACTCCGGCGCGGTCGGGGTCAGTTCTCAGAAAGTTTCTAATTGGCTGCTTTCAGACGGACTGTCCCCGCGACGCCGCGCACCTGCACGCATTACCATTTTAACCTTCCTCGCGGAACGCCGGCCGTAAGTCATATGCAAATTTCGGATGGGTACTTTCGCCGCGGGAACTCGTTAAAACGGCTGCCGGAAAATAGAATTCACCGGACCAGAATTTCCAAAGCTTGGGCTAACGTTCACGACGGTAACGCGCGAGCAATTAGCCACGCCATTCGGCTCTCGTACGGAGGATAGTGATTAAGTAACCGTAATTTTCTTCGATGCCGGGGCACGATGGTCGCCGTGATATCGACGTATGCTGTCGACAAGATGTCTCGGGTATTTTTATTATCGATATGTGTTTCATTTGAAATCTGTAAATAAGTATCGAAATTCATTACTGCTATTTACGATACTGATTTCTCGTCGATTTAGGTGACCTTAAAACATGTGGAAGACTTGATTCCGAACTTTTTTCCTATAATGTAATTTCCTATATTGTAATACAGATACAAAGAATACGAATCTATCAATTTGAGTGTTCTTTTAAAATTAAACATATGTTACGGTTTATGGCAATAGTGGAATGTAGAATAATTTTATTATATTTATAATTTTGTTCACCTTTTCCAAGATAAACTTTCTGGATACACAGAGATCATTTAAACCCGTTAGATCGAAATGACTGATGAAAATGATGACTTGAAAAAACTAATTCAATTCTTCTCTATCGCATGATAGATTGTTAAATGTTGAACGTTGCTGATAAACGGATACGTTAAGACAACGAATAAAAGAAATTCGATTAAAAAAATACTGAAAATAATTGTTAACATAGTAGGAATATAAAATTAGTCCGAGGATATTGAAAGGCCTAAGGCATCGAATTCCTGGGAAACTTTGGTCAAACATTTCCTATAAACTGAATTAAATGGAATCTTTGATTTACGTTTCGTCGGCCGAAAGTTCCACTGTCTATCCCGTTTTCGTTTTCCGCGTTCCAAATTTTCTTATAACTTTACAAGATAAACAATTATATTCCCCCGAAGCTGAATAGCGTTAAGCAAACAGCAATAAATTTTATCTGCAGCGAATGCAAACTCGAAAGGAAAACATTGACGAAGCTTATATTGCAACTTAACTTGGCGCAATAAAATTCCTCCTGGCCGCACCGTCACTTCATTCTAATAAATTAAATAGATTCGGTAAATATTTAATTTCTACGGTACAGTTGGCATGGTCGAAAAGCATCCGACCGAATGCTGACTCGCCGAAGGGGAATAAACAAGGAACTTTTTTCTGCTTCGTGATGTAATGTCCCAGTTTTTTTCAAGCATAAATCGAAAAGATAGAAAAATGTTTAAAAGGAAACAAGCGTAAGTGGATTATTTTATTTTACTTCCATTTATTCTTTGGAATATTTTATGTTATATTATTCGTTTTATTCAACGATTCTTCTTCTTACTACTTTAGTTCTGTATTTTTAACAATTTTCAAAGAATCCGTCGCACGGATGAATTAGCATTTTTAAGTTATTTTTTCAACTTCAGGACTTTAAATGCTAACGGGACTTCCACGGAAGTCAGATATCCGTGTTCTTACCGTTATAACAATACTGCTCGCGACCGTCGCCATCGCAAAATGTGAATTCATCTTTCCAGTAAAATTACTGTTACTTCTGCATTTAAAGCACTACTTCCCGATACAACATTAATCGTTACATATTCATAAAGCGACTTTCCGCCTGCGGCGACTCGACGGGTACCCCATATATGCTAAATACTTTAATATTTCCAAGATACACTTCAGCGAAATCGTTGCTGCGGTGTGCATTCAATTTCGGATTACGCTACTTGAACAAATGTTGCATATTCGATAAACTATGGCTTCATCGATTAGGTTGTCTTATTAGTTAATGAATCGTTATTGACAACTTCGACGTATTGTCTTAACTTTTAATTCGTTTCTCGTGAATACAATCATTTGTTGTTACTAGAGTTCTTGTTTCTTTAATCGAATAAAAAATGTAATATAATTTCTCGATTGTGTCTGGCCAATGCTCAGTATTTCTACTTAATGTAACTGGCTTTTCAATTGAAAGCTTTCTATATCTCTCACTCGATGGTATAGATTCCATTTCTCGATCAAATTACAAACTGAAACTTCCCCAAAATGTAACTTACATTGCTCTACCATGTAACTCCAAAATATGAACTGAGACTTCCCTAAAATGTAACTTGCATCACTGGATACCCTAACACAAAATATGTGAAACTTTCTCGAATTAATGAAACTTACATTATTCTACCATATTACCCGAATATTTCAACTGAAACTTCCTTGAATTAATATAATTTACATTAATCTACCGCATTACCTCAAAACAGGGATTAAAACTTCCCTAAAATATAACTTACATCACTCGATCATCCCCTAACACAAAATATGAACTGAAACTTCCTCGACTTAATATAACTTACACGCCTCTATCTATCTACGAGCGTATTCCTCCTTCCTCGTTAATCCAATTAACTAATTCCCAGTTAGCGACGCACCACTCTAGCGACGTCACATCAAAGATGTGACAAAGCGGTCGATTCATCGGGCTGCCTTGCTTTGATCGACAGGGTCGTCACGGGAAGGGATCGATCTTCGTCTGGGCGTCGGGCAACGGCGGCAAGGACCACGACAACTGCAACTGCGACGGTTATACGAACAGCATCTGGACGCTGTCCATCAGCAGCGCAACGGAGAACGGCCAAGTGCCCTGGTACAGCGAGGCGTGTTCCTCGACCCTGGCGACCACCTACAGTTCCGGTTCAGCGGGGGAGAAACAAGTGGTGACCACCGACCTGCATAACCATTGCACCAGCAGTCACACGGGCACGTCCGCGTCGGCGCCCCTCGCGGCCGGCATTTGCGCCCTTGCCCTCGAGGCCAACAAAGATCTGACCTGGAGGGACATGCAGCACATCGTCGTGCGAACCGCGAAACCCGCGAACCTGAAGGCGCCGGACTGGGTGACAAACGGCGTCGGAAGGAACGGTAAGTTACGACGACGCGTACTTAACACGTTAAGCGACACGAGAGTCTTAAGCGTTTTCCCGTAGAGTTTGTCTTTTGCAGCAAAGAAAAGTAGGAATACTTGTGAATTATTCGGCGTTGCAACGTTTGCGTTACATTATTATTAACTTAGGCCCTCATTTTTTCTATTCGTCTGTTGGTCGTCGCCTCCATTATATTTAAATATTTTCTCATTGTTTGTTGTAGTGAGCCACAGTTTCGGTTACGGACTGATGGACGCCGCAGCCATGGTACGTTTAGCTAGAAGATGGCGGACGGTGCCTGAGCAACACAGGTGCGAAGTTTCGGCACCACATATGGGCAGGTAAATTTATTTCCACGTTAAGATGTTATTATATTCAAATTATCGTACAGGTATATCTCGTCGTTAATCAAGCAAACGTGACGAATATAGAGAAAAACTGGAATGTTACTAGAGAATCGCTAAAAAACATAAAAATTTCCTTTAACGATAGATTAATTAAATTATAGAGCTTTAAGTTCTTATAAGAAACACAGTAAATTATCTTGCGTATATAAATTACCAGATTGATCGTTTCAAAATGTACTCGTGATATTTCGTGTCCCAGTTTCATGACTGACCTGAATATCGTGTGTATATTGTAGGCCGATACCACCGAACAACAAGTTAACTCTGGAATTGAACGTCAAGGAGTGTACCGGTGTTAATTTTCTCGAGCACGTGCAGGTAAGTACCGTGTCACTCAGGTAAGCTGCAGGTTAATAGTTTTCCCCTTGATAGCTTACGATCACGAACACGTAAAAACGTGATTGTAAATGAAAAATTTCTTACGCAACGTTCCGCGAAAGATTTTTAATCGAAAAGAAGTCTTTTTCATATTGAAAACGATATTAACTATATTATTGAAAAATGATCGAGAAATTATCTTTTCTTCAATCACGATACTGAATCTGTCAATAAGTCCCTTAAAATATGATATTTTCTCCAATTTTCTACAATCTACATATAAACTGAAAATTCGTTTCCTTTAAAAAAGAAAATTTTCCTTTCCATTTCCAAGTAATGCTCTAAAATATCTATACATTACTATGCGTTTAAATTTATCATCATTTGTCAGCATTAAAAAAGTAACGTTCATTTATAAAATACAAAATCAATACAGTCGCGAAGATGTATTTAATGTCAAAACAATCCATTTTATCGAAGCGGGGCGCTAAAGTGGAGGATATTTTCAACAATATATATCTTCTAGCATGTACACGTGTCGTTTCTGTAGAATTGCACGCTACAAAGGCTCCCGATACAAAATTGACACGTCCTGACAGCCGGAGAACGCGGAAGAATTTACCTTTTCACGTGTAACTCGTGTATTATTCGTGTGTGTGTCGCAGGCGAAGGTATCTCTGATGGCGACGAGAAGAGGGGATCTTCAGATACAGCTAACATCTCCACAGGGCACCAAAAGCACCCTGCTCGCGAAAAGGCCACACGACATCTCGAAAGCCGGTTTCAATCAATGGCCATTTATGTCGGTTCACACTTGGGGCGAAAGGCCACACGGCACGTGGAAACTTGAAATCCACAATGAGGGTCGATATCAAGGTGAGTCCATTGTATAGATCTTTTTGTTCTATTCTTTCCTTCGCGTACAGTGTTTCCAAAGTAGCAATAAGATCGTCTTATCGCACTTCGTCCGGATAAAAATATCACGCCGCGATTGAGCATTACTCGAATTATTTCAAATAAATATTTGTGGCGATTAACTGAAGAATCTCTTGTTAGCGAAACACTTTACGATGGTAATAAAAATTGTTATTTTCAGGTAATCTATCTAGTAATTCAGATCATTCGTTCGAACAATTCACTGGAATACCTCGTCTCTATGTATCCCGGTAATTTCTTCGAACGATTTATCCTTGTGTATTCCAGAAATACGTTTAAATAGTTCATTCTCATACATTCTAATAATTCACTTGAATATTCCATTTTCATTTAAACGGACAACACATTCTCGTATATTTTAATAAAACGTGTTTATTTATTCGAATCGTCGAGCCATATTTATCGGAACAACTCGGTGAAATAATTCATCTTTACTTGATACATTAATTCAACCGAATAACTCGTATTTATTTATTTACTTAAATAGTTCATTGGAAACATTCATATTTCTTTGTTCGAATAATATATTCAAGTAACAGTGAAATTAGCAAGATCCATGGAAATTTATGGAACTACAGTGTCAACGTGTAAATCGTCTTTTCATTTTACTAATCATTAAATCGTTAAGATAATCACTGCACGAAGAGGGATGTGATGCAATTGGTACGTAACTCAGAACAATCTTGATTCGGGGATGCACGGGTCAAGGTTGTTTCGAACGTATGACGTATGGCAGACACGTGAGAAGTATCACTTTCCGATCTGCAGTCCCAGCTCAGAATCCATCGCAGCTTCCATGTTGGGGTCCATGGTCCACGTACCGGGTATATTATACTCAGTTCCGCAGTCCATGACCCACATGTGGATCACACCAGATTCAGTTCTGTAATCTATGATCCACTGCGGATCATACTGTCCCTGGCTCCCGAGACCGTGACCTACATACGGGCCACAGCTGTGTTAATTCACTTTAGGCTGCGCTTCTCCGAGCAAGAGTGCCTCACGAAGGCAGTAAATGTGTGTTACGCAATCATTCGAACACCAAAATGTACATAAGATACCGATAAAATTATGGATACGTGTTTAATTTAATATAAGATTATAATAATAAAAAATTGATAATATACTAGCATGGAAATAACGATTCAAATCGGATTTACCATAAATTTGTCCATACTTTGGTTGAAAACTACTATTAGGTATACAAATAAGTAATCTAACGTTTAATTAATTTTAAATTCGAAATCTAACTATATTTAATTGACTGCGATATGATAATAAGAATCTTTTACAGTGTCTTTTTAATATTAAAAGCTATCCCGTATCACCGGTTATTATTCCGTAATTAAATACGAAAGTGAAACAATCTAAATAAACTTCGGTACACTTTATTACATAATCAGTTGAAATGAAACTTCAAACATACGTCTTGTGTAACTTTCAATATTTCGCTTTCACGATATTCTATATTGTCCTACGTTTCAAAAATTTAAACAGCTAATCCAAGCGCAAACACGAGTTAACTCGTGACCGGTCAACGTTTGAACATGAAACACAGTTAACTCGTGGTCGATCAACAATGCGTCACTATAGCGACTAAGGTCGCCGTATAGTCACTTTGATTTTTAGTAAATAATTCAAAGGAATTTACCAAATTCTCCAAGAACATAGTGTATCCCGGACGAGCTACTATTATTATAGATATTGAAAAGGTGGATCTTCGGTAAAAAGAGAATTAGGAAACAATATATGTATTTAATGGGATAAAGAAACAATACGGACAACGCGTAAAAATACAACTTAATACCACGAAGGACACACGACTCTCTATCACGCACAAAAATGTTCTCCGCTGTCTCTCACCAAAATGTCCTCACGCACGCATTCCCACTCGCTTTTAACACACACCCCCATTCGCTCTTTCTCACCCTTGCACCCTTCTCGCATCTTTCGTCCATAGTCAAAACTCACGCAGTCGCGTACACGCTTTTCTCACGGTCCAGTCGCTCGGTTCCAGACACTCTTCCTCGCATTCTTCCTGCCACTCGAGATTTTCTAAATTACTACTATCTACTATCTTTGCGCACGCACAACAAACCATTCATCCTATAATGCTTTAACCTACGCTAAATAATTCTGGATACTACAAGACCGTTCAATTTGTCTGCTCGATAGTGTCGGCGTCGAACGAGCTGCTACGGTAGCCATGAAACTGTCGCCGAATTCCTCGAGCAGTGCTCGGTGTCGCGATTCTCGTATATGACAAAGTTCACCGAGTCGGTCCCAGATGATTCCGCGCTCGCTCCGGTCGAGGCAGCTTTCGCTCACCGGCGACGGCAAGCAAATGACCTTTCGCAAGTGTTACGAGAACTTCGGGCCGCCTCTACGTCGCCATCAAACCTAATGGCTGCGTAAACTTCATTACGTAAAATTTGCCCGCCAAATGGAGCGTCGCAGGCCTCGCGTATCCGTGCACGGTAAATCCCCCGTTGGGCCGACTTTTGTGCGTCAAGATGTATTCGAGACGCAGCTGTGTTTGCCCAACCTCTTCGATCGTCATGAGGACGCGGCAGGTTAACAAGATGGCTGTAGTGTCGCTACGCCGCTGCGCGGTGTAGCCGGATCTTCAATTTATCAGGCTCGAGACAGCGTGGTCATTTCGCCTGTCAGATGCTGCGTACTAAGTACTAAGTGCATCTGATGGGATAATCTTTTTAGAAACGTATAATTGTAATGGAATTTTTACGTGACGCAACGGTGTATTCGATGCGTCGGTGTATTTGGGAAATTTGTGTATTCGATAGACATTTTTCATGGCTATTTATGTCGGTTTCAGCGTACTCGAATCTTTCCCGAGTTGGAGATGAGAAATATTTTCATCGGAAAGTGTTTTATTTCGAGATGTTCTATAAAATAAGATATTAAATATAGAAACTGGATTTTATGTAAGGAGTAAGATGACGTACAGAGGATTTTGAAATATTCAAAGAAGTGTGTTCATGTTGATGGAGTGAATATACTCCCCTAAAGATAGAAATGATATTTTACGAAACATCTTAAAATTAGCAGATCTAAAAAACTTTCTCAGTGTTTAGATGGTTGTAATTACATGAATACTAAACCTCAATTACCGGATCATAATTCTCACAAACATTTGTGGTGCAAGTTACCCGTAAAAATGAACATTAACCCAGAAATTACGCTCGCACAGGAATAGAACAATGAAAAAATAATTATCATAGCACCAAAATCATTAACGAACCCAACTCAACGAACATCAAAAACAAATTAACCAACAATTCTTCGTCTCCGTATCATTCCACAATTCTCCAACAAAAGTGATTCGTTCTTCAAATAACAACCATCGAATATCTAAAACCGTTCCAAGTATAATCAGAAAATCTATTCCAAAACTTGCGCAGAACCCGAACGAACTAAGGTTAACCGAATTCTCCGTTTAAATCGTTAGCTGCGCCATTTAGTGCTGCTTCCGTAGATTCGAACGCCTATCTTGAGCACTAACAGCCATCTGCTATCTTATCGTCTCATCTTCGGTAACACGAAGGGAATTCTCGTAAACCGTGCACGTGGGACCGCGTAAGCTGCTGCACCGCCTCCCAAGGGCATAATTCCATATTCGAGGCGTGTTCCCTCGCGACGTTGGGTCTCACGAACCAACCACCGGGGGCAGCTGACCTTGTGCCGGCGCGAGGAAGGCTGGGATATGGCGGAACTGCTGGAACCACTTCAACCTGGAAGCCCGTTAAAGCTGATAGACGCATAAAGTTCGGGTTAACACGTTCGTTGCCGGTGCGGCTCCGATCAGAGTCGCTCGACTGTGTTTGACATACTTCTATGTATACACTCTTTTATCGCTTTCACATTTGTCCATTGAGCTATTATATCGTATGTCGAGGACAGTCTGACTATTAAGCGAGACGGGCCAATATTTGTTTCCCAAACATTTCGATCACACTTGTGTTTGGTACATAAAAGTGCCTGTCCATCGTCCAAAATATAATTTTACTATATTTCGATTCGATTTCTTGTGCCATTTCAGGAGAAAACATCAGGGAAACATGCATGTCTCAAAAAGTTACGCTGAAATAACTTGATTCCCCGTAATCACTAATAAACTTTAATTTTATTAGACAGCCGAGTGCAAAGGGTTAATATGCTTGAAACTTTATGAAAATCTGGTCGAACCGTTCCACGCTCACTCTAAATAGGAAATGCATCGGTCGGACTGTTACAAATAGAAGATTGTTTATTTTTCCAAATGTAGCGACTATATCAGAGTTTCGCTATGTATATTCTGTTCCACATTGGCAACGAACGTGTTAACGCGAGGCTTGTAATCTCGCGTGTCCCTCGCGCAAGGCGGATCCCTCCGCTCTATTGTCCGCGCGTAATGCGCCCGAGTACATTCCAAGTACGGGCATTTAAACCAGCGCGCGTCTTGTTTGCTTTGATTCCGAGGACATGCCGGGCCAGCCGATCCTCGGTTCGTTATCATCCCCGATAGCACAATATTGTGCCACTCCGTTATACCGTCGACGCGTTCGGAAATAATCGCCGATGATTGTCCGACCGTCAATTGCCGTCGGAGAGCGCTAACAGGCTGGTCGGGTGCTGCTTTCGGCACCCAATGGATTTCCATTAGCCGCACTTAACGTGTTGAGCGATGGAAATTAGGGTACTTTTAGGGTAGAGGAATTATCACGTTTCATTCGGTAAGATTTTGGTCGTTTCCCCGTTCTTCGGTGAGAGGCGCCGAAAATCGATTATTCTGAGATAATCTCGACATTTCTTGGACTAATTTCATTGAAACCTTGTAATAGCATGTTCTCGATAGTTTGAGTGTTCCACTTTCTTTGTAGCCTCGTTAAGGTTTAATAGAATTAAATCTTGGGAAATGAAACTTAGGGTAATTCAGTTATGCTAACAATTGTATGGGATATTTAACTTCCGAGTATTAGTATTATAGGTTTCAATGTTATTTATGGGAAGTATAAGAAAACTTATTTGACAAAAATTAATATACAAATAATTATTTTAAAAACGAAGATCAGATAATTCTGTACAGATGTAAACGCAACCAATATCTCAGTAAACACCAGTCATTAACTTTAACATTATTACTAACCATAGTTTCCATAATAAATTCGACTGCAGACTAATATATGGTTCCTTAAATAAATATCTACAACATTAACCTCCATATTCTACCTACAAACTTCACACGATCGCCGAGAGATCTCACATATCTACACCGACACCGAAAAATTCACGCAGGTCTGGTTACTCAAACGATAATTCTCTAATTTCCCGCTGCCTCCTGTCCCAACGAACTCCGGATCAGGTCGCGCGACCCTTCACGAGTGGGCGCTGATCTTCTACGGCACGGCGACGCTGCCGGACCGCACGGAGTACGCGCTGTACAGCCCGGCCAGCATAAACATCCCCAGGAGGCCGTTCGTGAAGCCGCGCGAGACCGCGTTCTCCAAGTCGCAGAACTCGTTGACGGGCTCGAAGGGCAAGCAGGCTCAGCACAAGTCCGAGAAGTCCGGCAATCTGAGCCCGCCGTACGTGGTGAACGCGCAGACCCAGTCCCAGAGGAAGGGCAAGGCGCGGGGGCAGCACAAGAACGGCAAATCAGCGAACAAGCCGACCCCGAAGCCGACCGTTCAGACTCTGAGGGGATTGACAGCTGCCAAAGGGGCCAACGTCGCCGGGGAGGTCCGCTTGATCACGTCCAGGCCACGCGGAAGGAGCACCCCTAGCCCGATCACCACCACCGTCGCCCAGACCAGACCCACGGTGACTGTCCCTACCACCAGGATCACGAGCAGGCAGAGGATCGTCAATATCGTGACAGCGTCGTCTCTTCAAAGGGGCTTGATCCTCTTAGAGCCCCCGGCGAAACCTGTCATCGAGAACATGCCGGCCATCTTCCAGCAATATCCCAAGATCCAGGAACTGTATCCGCTTTACCCTATCTTCCCCGGTGTGCGCGGGACCGGACAACACGCGACCAGGGCGAAGGGCCTGGATCTACTGCAGGACGAACAGATATTCGACTCGAAGAATCCGGACAAGGGTACTCCATGCTTGATCACGATTGTAGCAGCGTGGTTGTAGAGTTGTGCGATGAGTATCGCGTGGGTGTTGCTTTGCAAGGATTGCTGATTGATTTGTGTGGGAATTATAGATAATGGAATAAGATTTCTTTCATTATTTTATTGTTTTATTATTATTTCACTGTTATTTCGTTACTGTTTCATTAGTATTTGGTTTTATTACTGGTTTTTATTTTTACCGTTGTTACTCTGTTTTTGTTAGTATTAGTATTGTATTTCATTATTTAATTAATAAGATTTATGATTCTCAGGGGTTTAGAAGATACGAAAATTGAGGAGTTTGTTAGGCATTTTTATTCGAGATTCGCCTGGTTTTTGGTAGCACAATTTACTCGCCGTTTCTCGACTCGCTTAAGATTTTGTTAAATCGCGGACACATAATCTGCCTTGCAACATCGCAGGGATGTACGTTACACGCAATTTCTCGGTACGCTTCGCGACAGTAGGGAACTTTATACGATGGATGTGCACCCACGTGTAATGTCAGCAAATTAAGTGAACTTGGTAGAACTTAGTTTACCGTCTCTCCTTTTCCCCCGTTTGCTCCCAGTTGTTGCGAATGCACTTCGGCGTAATCAGTTTTCATTTTGTCAATATTAATTAACCGTGTTAGCTTCAGCTTTTGTGAATTTTCCTAGGCGACCTTTTATTTTTGCTAGACAACATTTTTATTTTTTCAGTGTGATACATATATTGTTGTGTATGCTGTATTTCATTATTGTTACTCGTTTCCTTCACACCGGAAATATGGACTTCAGAAATTGGTATTTATAAGATACAATATATTTGCAATTATAATTATATATAATTATCACTGTTCTTTTTAAATTAATTCGTGTTACTACATTGAGGCAAACTTTCTTTTTCGTATACATTCATTATCTGCTATATACGATGCACAACATATTCTTCATTTAAATAGCTAACGCAATCTTGTCTCTCAATAGCCACGTTTCACACCGGAATTTTCATTTATAAAATACTCTGTTCTTATTGAATAATTGAAGTTTAAATATTTATTTTCGACTACAAAAAATTCTAGGATCCATATTGAAACAACGAGGCAAAAACTATTACTAAAATTACTATACAAACTTCGATACACGATGTACATTAATATATTTCAGTTGATATTCTTTATATTTATTTCCATTAATATATTAATACATTTAGAAACACTCGATGTCACGTCAAAAACAAAATGACAGCTCGAGTTATTATAACGAGAGTAAGATATAAATTTTATTTGGTCACGTGCGTTTAGTTCCGTTCATATTACACGAAACGATCGCACAATATTCCGAGTAGTTAATATTTTTCTTAGCGCCGCGCTAACAAAATGACGAGCCTTCATCTGCATGCCGGCTCGTACGCGAACTTAGTAATTGCGACGCAGCGAACTTCTCCCCTGTAATGATTAAAGCGTAGCTTCTTAAAAACTCCCGCGTCCATAATAAGAAAACTTGTTAAGGTAGGTGCACGCAGGGAGTGCCATTTAATCAAAACTTGGAATGACTTTGACGCAGGTAATGCTTGTCTTCCAAAATCGCTTGTATGCATGGGAATGTGTGTTCAGTAGAGATTCATCTTAAACACCGCTATCGTGGCTTGCAATCTGCTACGCGAATCATCGGCTTTCCGCGCTGCTTAAAATTACTCGAAGTCACTATTTTTCTGTGAAACTCGAATCCCTTTTATCGCCTTCCGGTTTAGTTGCATTCGATTATAGGGTCGCGTGACGTTGGACGACACGATCAAATTTTCAAGAAAAAAATGCCTAGGTCATCCTCATTCCTTTTTTAAGCAATGTCGTGAATTTTCACTGATATCATATAAAAAGAAGTAAAATTATAAATACGATCATAATTCAACATGAATTTCGAGGTGATTTTAAGGTCACGTCATAAATAAAATAAACTTAGTACATAGTGTCTTTATGATGATATTAACGATTTTCGTATAATCTTAAAAATAATTTAGTTCCAAATACTTTTGAGTATGTTTAATCCTAAGCAACGTATATTTTTGTTTCATAATATTGTCGAGAAACTATGTATTAATTGAGTAGCTTTTCTTTTTCGTTCTATTTTCGTGCGGATAAGCTTGACCAATTTATTATGTATTATTTAATTTTCGACGTGGAGGAAGGATCACACGAGTCGTCCATTAATGCAATTTACCGCAAGCTGTATTCCATGCCGCCACACGGAGTTTCGTTTTTCGCGTGGCGAAGCTGAAATAAACTAGTTTGTCCGCGGTTGCTCGGCCATGGAAATGAGGATAAAGCGTTTAATGTGATTTCCGGTCCTGGACCATAAACGAACTAGGAAGTCCACTTATTGTTAGTTAGGATCCGACGGTATCGAGATACACATCGGTGTGTAACATTACGTGGTTATCGACAATAGTTGCGCGGAAACGGCGCACCCTTAAACCGAACTGCGCTTGACACAGGAATAATTAGAAAAGTTACCCTGCAAACCTTTCATTCGCACGACGTTATAACTATAATCAAAGTGTTTTTTTGTTCAAAGATAAAATCAAATAGATTGCACCATACTTTGATATATTGGGATTAAGTGTTAGAGAAATTTCAGTTTCTTAGTATTAATTAAAAGATTCTACGTTTCACGTGTAGTCAATAGGTTTATAGCCTTTAATTCTTAGATAACTAACTTTTAAAATAGGAAATTTTAACGAAATTGTTTGTGTAGATATTTATCAACTTTCTTGATAATGTAATATTTTTATTAGTCCGATTGAACGTTTATCGATTAATATTAACGAGCTTAGTATAATTATTGCGAATAAATCCTACATCAAAATTAACCGTGCGACGAAGCGTCTAGTAATTTACCGAGAAAAATTAATTTTATATTAATTTCAACCTTCCACCTTAACCAAGAAGATGGTTACAGGGAAAATTTCCATCGCAAAGTTTCAAGAACCATTTTTAAGGTTTTACAGGCAGAATTTTCTAGAAATTCGTGCATCCAATTGCACGGAAAAGGCACGAAATCTGATAATCCGATTGTCGTCCCTAATTACATTCCTGGTCGAGGTGAAGGGCTGAAACTTGGCACAAAATATTTCTCCCTGGCAAACTACCGGATGTTCCATCGTGAATTGGATCAAGGTCATTTTATACACAACTTATTACTATTCATAATTCAGCTGAAAGTAAACTTTATTCGGTGAAATAGGATCCGTCCCAGATATTTCTATCAATGGGAGGCGAATTTATTCATTCTGTAGCCGTGACATCTTAGACTCTCGAAAGCGTAGAATCCTTGGAAAGCGGGGTAACAGCATCACCTGCTCGGTTCTTGAGGACTTCCTGTCGCAAAAAGTTATCAAGGTGTTCGCGAAAGTCGTAATCAGTTGATGAGAGGTTTATGAATAAGCAGGATGAAACAGACTTCCGTGGTTTCGTTTGCTCGGCATAGAAATACGATTTTCTTAAAAGTGTGATCGAGTTTTTCCATGGGAAAGGATGAAATCCTCACGTTTAACTAATGCTGGATATTCAACGAATTTTTTTCCAGTTTGCGTGAACACGTGTGTTTCGAAATGGAAAACGTTTAAAGTGGAAGCCTAAACGACGACAAATATTTTCGCAAGAATAGCAATTGTGGAAAATTAAGCAGTGTATAGATTGTCTAACTGTCACACATTTTAACTGACAATTAAAACGTCGGTGTAGAGTTCCGTTTCAACGTTTTAATCGAAACCGTTTGCCGGTATCAATAATTTTTATCTAAATTCAATCTCCCGGGAAACGAGTTTGATCCCACGTAACTCACCAACTTCTTCCCCGTTAATGCCCTGTCACGTCTGGCGAAATTAAAGGAAAATTAGAATGCCACCTGTGAATTATTTCTGACAGCTTATCGAATTTACGATTGGCTTTCGCTGACGCTCCCGCGACATTTGTCGCGGAATTAATCTTCAGGCGAAGATAAACGATGCAGGAAAACTTCGGTATACACTTTGGCATTTATGATCCTTGTAAACGGTTTTCGATAAATTGTACTTTCAAAATGGTTTTTAATTTATTACTTATTCTTTCAAAGTAATATACAGTTATATAATAACTTTCAGTTAATCACATTTTCAAAGTAACTTTCATTTAACCGATTGCACTTTCGTGGTAATTTTCCATAAATCGATTTAACATTAGTTCGACTCTAATTTAAAATGTACTTATCATTGGAAATATTATAAAGAATAAAAACAAAATTAATTCCATCGTGATTTTTATCACGAACCGAGCTCGAATTTAATCGATCACGCGTGGAATTGATTATCGTCGACGAAACTGCCGTTTATCGTGAACCTCTCAGTTGTGAAAAAAACTGAATTTTGTTTTATCACGATCCTTCTCTCCTAGGAAAGAAGGGAAACATTCTGTCCTGGAATTGAATTTAGCATGATTTCGTGAACGGGATACAGGTCGCTGCAATTTCCCTGCCACAATCTATTCCGAAAGGAAACATTGGAAACAAGGCCCCTATCTCGTCGAAGATTAAATTTAATCGAAGTTTCTGCTGCAGACATTTTTATAGGAACAGCATCTACAGAATGCTGTATACAGAATTATTTAAGAATACGCGAAATAAAATTGCAAGGCAGTGCGTGATTTCTATATGATTTGAATTATTCGACTATCTTATTTATATTGCTAATCTATTTTATATATTTATATATTCTTCAATTATTTATATTCTCTATTATTGTAATAAAATATATTCGTATTTTATAGGACACCGATAAATGATTATAATAAGCTTTTTACTTTTGCGCCCTTATCTCAATTTCCTGAATGAAACCTCGTATGTATTTGATACATTTATAAATATTCGAATGTATTTTCTTTTTCCTTTATTATTAAGTTAGCATGTTGCATCTGAAATAATAATGTCTTGTATTGAATATTGAGTTAAAGCTCGAAACTTTCTGAAGATTGTAGGAATCATTGTAATATTATTTGTAGTTTGATGTGTACACAATTTTACGTTTGAGAATTATTCATGACTGTTTACTAGTGCACATTTTCTTGGTAATCATGAACATTCTTTTGTCACCAAGTTTCAGCATGGTCACGTATGTATTTTACATACTCTACCTTTACAGCTCTCCCCTTTTTAATTTAAGTACGAATATTTATATAATTTCACAAGGTATACATTTATTTTCTGATTTTGCGATACTATACGTTCCTTTAAACATTTTTAGTACACTAATATTATTATTTTGAATGTGGCATTGTTTTGTAGACAAATCAATCCCGAATAAGACGGAAATGAGAAAACTACTCTGATAGTATCACAATTATTATTTCAAATTTCAGTCATCCAACTCAACTAAAACGATAGTTGTACAGATAAATGATACCACAACTAAAATCTTGAACCAAAAAATCGAAGAATTCCCAAACTTTCTCGATAGTTACACCATATACTTTTCAAATTTTTCTAAGCAATCAAATCAGAATCGACACCCTAAAAATTGGCACTTCAAACCTTCTCTTCATCCACCTCTCACATTTTCTATCAACAATCTAATTTCCATATTTAAATTTATATTCCACACTTCCGTGTCTTCGAATTTCAATTAAAATTCACAACAACATCCCTATACAAAAATTAACGGAAAACTTCCAAATCATCGAACAACCATCTCCGTCTTATTCAATCCGCTAACCCAAAGCCAACCGTTAACGCCAGCCTCCGCTGTTCCAGACAACCTGGAGCAGTTCAAGCTAGTGTTCTACGGCACGGAGACGTCTCTGGAGCTGGACGACGACCTGGACAGGGACAAGCCGATGCCGCCCGTCCACCACCAGGAGCAAGTGCCGGACAATTCGGCGATCGGCACAAGGCACAACGCGGTGGACACGGAGGGCGACCCCTGGATGGACAGCCAGCAGGTGGAGCGCGTCTCGCATCAGGAGGTGCAGAGACCGACCACGGAGAACCAGAAGAGCGGTTGCAGTTCTGTGGACCCTGTAAATGGCAGGTGCCTAGGTGGGTGCCTCATTCTACTCCTTCTAGCCTACCTGGCCAGCTGGGGGAGCCTGCCGGCCAGCTGGCGGGAACCGGCGAACGTTAGAGTCGACGGGGGCCTGGAGGTGTCCTCCGACGCCTCGGGTCCAGCTTCGACGTCGTTTAGCGAAAGATTGCCGGCGTCGAACGCGAACCGGCCGACCGAGTGGTCGTCGGTTGGCGGCCGGTGCTCATGATGACATCCCAGGACGATAGGCACCTCGGCCCGCCGCGTCGCGGGTTAACCGGGTCGGGGCTGGAATCGGCCGGGTGTCGACGCGCCTCGTTCGAACAGTTGTG